GTTGCTGTTGTTGCTGTTGCTGTTGCAGTAACGACGTCTTTTAAGCTGCCGCCAAGAAATATCGAAGTGGATTTGTTGCTGCTATTGCTGCACTTCTTTTTTTTTTTTAATTGCACTTTTTGGTCTGCTGCTGTCGCAGCTTCTCCCCCTCCTCCTGCGCCCGCTGCTGCTGATGGCAATCAACGCAGACAAGTTAATTAAAATAAAAATCCACAGAGATATGTTATGCTGTTGGCTTTAGCATCTTCATCCACTTAGACAGATAGACTATTCTGAGTAGCGTAACATATTTATTTTGAAACTATTCGTAATTGAATTAAAATACATTTGGAGTTATAACTTGTTATCCACACTTATCCGACATTATCCGGCTTTAGGTGAAGGCATGCAGCATGCTTGCAAAACAAAACAAATACATTTTTTTAGTTATTCAAATTGAGTTATTCTTTTTTTTATTTTTTTAAATTTTAGATGATATTAAACATGAAATTACTTAACAGAAAATTACGTTGCACCAGTTGGGGAATGTTAGTGAATGTCATACATAAATAATTGAGCCTATTAGAGTGGATATTCGCCGTTGCCGTACTGCTTGATCTTCAGCAGTGCGCAGGAGTGCTCAAAGAATTTTTCGCACTTGGCCGGCTGCTTGGCGTCCGCATGGAAGGGCCCCTTGCCGCCGTTGCTCAGATAGGTGCCTCCCTGGCCCTCGATGGACGGATCTATGGCAGCGAAGACAACGGTGCGTGAGCCACGTTCAGGCGTCTTGAAGAAGAGCTTCTTGAAGAACGGCACCGCCGTCGTGGCCGAGTGCTCAAACAGATCCGTGTCCACAATGCCCGGATGCACCACATTCACCTGCACGTTGGCCTTCTCCGCATCCAGCAACGTCTGCAGGTGGCGTGTGAACAGAATCTGTGCCAGCTTCGACTGGCTGTACGCAGTGCCGGGATAATAGTTTTTGCTAATGAAACGAGAGAAACAAATTGAGTCTGAGCCGGCAAAGTAATCCTTCATCATCCACTTACAGTCCATTGAGGTCCTTGTAGTTGATGCGGCCAATCAGATTCACACAGGAGCTAACGTTCACAATGCGCGCATTTCTGCCCGGCTTGCCGGCCGCACGCAGCTTCGGCAGCAGCAGGTGGGTGAGCATGAAGTGGCCCAGGTAATTGATGGCAAAGTGCGATTCGTAGCCATCGGCCGTCAGCTTGAATGGCGCGAACATAATGCCCGCATTGTTTATCAGCAAATCAACTTTGGCATATGTCTGCGAGATCTTCTGCGCAAAGGCACGCACCGACTTCATATCTCCTACATCGAGCTGTTCGCAAATCAGTTTGCCTTTCGTCTGACTCAGATCGACAATGCCGCCAACAGCGTCTTCGGCACTGCGCGGATCCCGAACGCCTG